ATTATTATTATTATCATTATTATTATTATTATTATTGTCATTATTATTATTACTGTTATTATTATTATTATTATTACTATTATTATTATAATTATTATTATTATTATTATTATTATTATTGTTATTGTTGTTATTATTATTATCATTATTACCATTATTAATATAATAGCCCTATTATCATTATCACCATCACCACTGTATATTACCATCATCGTTATAATTATCATTATCATCTTTATTACTATTTTCATAATTATCACCATCATTATCACTGCCATTAATACTATCATCACTACCATTAGTCTCAACACTTTCATCACTGTTCTTTTTATATCTAACATACTCTGTGACTTTTAATTCAGTCGAGATTCCTTTACAGATCAGCTTTCGAAGAGAAAACATTGGGAATCTATTTCAATGGCTAACATTTTTGTTTGTTTTGTTTTGTTTAACTAGAGACTATTTTCGATACATGGTCAAGGACAAAACAAATACATAAATACATCGAAAATCAAATAAACACACCAAAAGTCGAATAAATTAGAACTGCACAAATTCAAAGAGAGAGAGAAAAAAATTATGTTGATGATAAATGATCATAATGCTAATGATAGTAATAATAGTAATCGTAATAATGATGATAAGAACAACAATGATAATAATCATAATGATAAGAAAGAAGAAAGAAGTAGAGAAGGAAGGAGAACAACAACTAAACACCAAGAACAAGAAAACGAAGAACAACAATAAAACACAAAGAACAAGAAAACGAAGAACAAGAAAACACCAAGAACAATAAGAAGAACAAGAGGGAAAAGAAGACGAAAAAAACAGTCGGCATCTGTGACAAGGCATGTTGCAAATGGGGGGAGGAGGGGGGGGGAGAAAAATGGTGGTGGTTTGGGGGGGGGAGGGGGAGGTCGAGATGGTATCAGGGCAAGATCACAAGGAAGAGTGTTATCTCAGAGAGGGCAATAAAGTGTTGGAAGAATTATGGGTAATGTTGTCACCCACGCGACCACGCTCGGGAGAAACACCTGTTGGTTAGCACTGTATTGCTCTTGGGTGGATATAGTGGGTTGTTTTATTATTGCTCTTCGAGTTATGGTCTTGTTTTAGTGTTGTTGTTTCTTTTAAGAACCGTTTGTATCTTGTATTTGTCTATCCGTCTATATATTTGTCTGTCTGACTCTCTGTCTACTTATATGTCTGTTTATTTAGCTACGTTTGTATCTAGTATTTGTCTATCAGTCTGTATATTTGTCTGTCTGTCTTTTTATGTGTCTGTTTATTTAGCTACGTTTGTATCTAGTATCTGTCTATCAGTCTGTATATTTGTCTGTCTGTCTATTTATGTGTCTGTTTATTTAGCTACGTTTGTATCTAGTATTTGTCTATCAGTCTGTATATTTGTCTGTCTGTCTATTTATGTGTCTGTTTATTTACCTACGTTTGTATCTAGTATTTGTCTATCAGGCTGTATATTTGTCTGTCTGTCTATTTATGTGTCTGTTTAGCTACGTTTGTATCTAGCATTTGTCTATCCGTCCGTCTGACTCTCTGTCTACTTATGTATCTGTTTATTTAGCTACGTATGTATGTATGTGTGTCCTCATGTGCGTGCCTCAACCCCTTCCATCTTTAATTAGTTTCCCATAAAATGAAAAAAAACAACAACAACAACAACAACGACACCCTTGTCTTCTTCCCCTTATCCCATGACTCACCTGTCGGCACCCCTCTGAGACTCCACCTGTTTTCATCTCATTAGTTCACCTAATCCCAAAACCTGATAGCTTTCACCTGTGATTTAGCTGCCCCCGGACCTTGATTGCGTTCTCCAGGTAATTAATTGTTTCCATGTGGTTCGCTTGTTATGTTGGGGCGTAGGTGGTGAGAGGGGCTGAGGAAGGGGTGGGTGGGGAGGTGAGAGGATTGGGAATGGAGGGGAAAGGAGGGGAGGGGTGGGGAAGGGAGGGGAGGGGTGGGGAAGGGAGGGGAAGGGGTGGGGAGGGGAGGGGAGGGGGAGAGGAGGGGAAGGGAAGGGAGGGGAGGGGAGAGGAGGGGAGGGGTGGAGGAGAGGAGGGGAAGGGAGGGGGAAGGGGTGGGGAGAGGAGGGGAAGGGAAGGGAGGGGAGGGGGTGGGAAGGGAGGGGAGGGGGGGTAGTCTGTAGAAGGGGAATGTGTGCAAAGGGCTAATCGGCTGGCGAGTCGGAGGGAGAGGGGAAGTGAGAGAGAAAGAGGGAGGGGCAATGGAGAGAGAGAGAGGGGTGGAGAATGAAGGGAAATGAAAGAAATGGAGGGAGAGGGTAAGAGAGAAGAAGGAGAGGGCGAAGAATGAAGGAGATGGAGGGAGAGGGGACGAGAGAGAGAAAGAGGAAGGGGCAATGGAGAGGGAGAATGAAGGGATATGAAAGAAATAAAGGGAGAGGGGATGAGAGAAGAAGGGGAGGGCGAAGAATGAAGGAAATGGAGGGAGAGGGGAAGAGAGAGAGAAAGAG